CTGTACCTGCAGAAGCAAAACAGCCCCAAAGCATGATTGACCCTCCACCATGTTCACAGTAGGCAAGGTGTTCTTTTCATCATAGGCCTTGTTCTTCCTCCTCCAAACATAGCGTTGATCCATGGGCCCAAACAGTTCTAATTTTGTTTCATCAGTCCACAGAACACTATCCCACAACTTTTGTGGTTTGTCCACATGGCTTTTGGCATACTGCAGTCGACTCTTCTTATTCTTTGGAGACAGCAAGGGGGTACGCCTAGTTCTGGCACGGAGGCCTTCATTACGCAGTGTGCGTCTTATTGTCTGGGCTGAAACTTCTGTACCCACATCTGACAAATCTTTTCTCAGTTCCTCAGCAGTCACACGGGGACTTCTCTCCACTCTACGCTTCAGGTAGCGCACAGCAGTCGAAGTAGCAACGACCAGGTAGCGTTTCAACAGTGCCCTTTGCCTTGAATTTGCGAATGATGCTTCCTAAGGTGTCTCTTGGTATGTTTAACATCTTTGCAATCTTCTTATAGCCATTGCCCTTCTGTGAAGAGAAATCACCTCTTCTCTTGCTGGACCATTCTCTTGCTTCACCATGTTTGTAACCACACAGTAAATGTCTAGAAGGAGCTGAGTATCACAGTCATTTTAAAGCTGCCTAGGTGCTTATTATGCTTGATTGCTGCTCGGTGACATCCACAGGTGTTTTCAATACCTGATGGAAAGCACCTGTATGAACCTTGTTCTTCAGAGTGGTAGTCTTTAAGGGGTTGAATAATTGTGGCAATGAAGAAACCACATAAGAACCATTTATACTGTATTACATAAACAATTGATGTCATTTTAGTTGCATTTGGGTAGTTACAACGTCCTTGTAGGATTTGATTCTGAATACAATTCCAAATGTACACTATAGTCCCTTTTACAGCATTGGGGGTTGAATAATTTTGGCCACAACTGTATATATATACACACACACACGCGTGATTTTGCGCAGCCCAGTATTTCTGCTATAGGGCAGAGGGCAAGCGGTTAAAGTCTATGTAAAGCCCCTAGTATATGCATCATGCCTCACAGTATACAGTTCTTAAGGAAAACTGCTTTTTGTGACTCTGTTGCAAAGTTCCTTACCTTGAGATCATGCCAGTAACAGCACTTCCAGTTGCAGGATGACAATGCTAAGCCACTATCTCTCAATAGGCAGCTTTGTCAGCCTGCAAAGCAAGCTCTTTCAGTTGGCCATTGGGCTGCATATTGGATAAAACCTAAGGAGCTTGCATGGCAGGCTGTAAACACTACTACTAATTGTGATACAGTGGCTTAGCGTTGTGATGTGCTGTCACTGGTAGGATTTCCAGGTAAGAAAATTTGCAAGAGATTATTGAAAACATTCCTTTAAGAAAATAACATATAGTGCGACATGCTGACAAACATACTGAAAAAGAGGATTTTTGTACTCGCTGTGAAATCCTTTTCTTGGAATCCATTGAGGGACACAAGGAACCCTAAACCTTCAATTTATACTACCACTTACAGGAGAATTGGACACTAGTAAACAATAAACTGTATGCCAGCCCAGTATTTAACACCTACTGCTACCAACATGCTTTGGTTTTGCAACAATGTAGTACAGAGGGTACTGAGAGTATAAAGTCCTATTTTCTTTCTCACTCATTAAGGGACACAGGAAATTTTAAACCACTAAGACATCCAAAAAGGAATCCAACTGGGGGGTGGGCAATTGCCAACAAGCCCAACAAAACAGGAAGTTGGGGGATTGCCTGTAGCCTGAATCTGACATCAGATGAGGCAGAAATGTCCATCACCAGGTGGCAGAAGACTTACAAATCTGGGAATATTTTGCCTGATGCTGAAATGCCCAAGCAGTGCTCACAGACTTAGTGGAATAAGCCATAACAAGCTTGAGACCATAAGCTTTAATGATGGCTTGTCTGGGCCATCTATAGATGTAGGATTGAGACGTTGGGGCCATCCTGAATGATAAAAAGGAATCCATCTTTCTGAAAGAAGCAGTGTTAGTGAGACACACAGGCCAAACTACATCCAGAAAAGGGAGGGAAATTTCACTTTAATAAACTGGAGCTGGATAATGTTCTAGTTAAGGTGAAAAACAGGGACTATTATACTAAGAAGGAAGTCCTAGGTCTCAATGCCATCTTGTCCCTAAGCAAAAACAAAACAGGTTCTATACAAGATAAGGGTGCCGAGTTCAGGCACTCACCTAACAGAGGTGTTAGCTACAAGGAAAGTAACAATGTGGGAGAGACTAGAGAGAGAAAAATCTCTAAAGTGTTCAAATTGTGGCTTTCTGAAACACAGCAAAAATCTGATTCAGATTCCACTGAGTCTCAGGGAAAAGGACAGGGTGAGCCATATAGGGGGCCCCATGCACAAAGCAGCTATGGACCTGAAAAGCACTCCACAGCTAACTTAACCAGAACCAAGTCTGGAATGTACCCTACATGAACCCATTGCTGAAGGCCTCTTACAAGTCTAGTCCCGGATCAACCAGTCTAAGGATGAACATTCCAGATACTTGCTGATCAAAGGAGAAACCTATAGCAGCAAGGTGCAGAAGAGTCTTGATTACAATATGATCACTAGCAAACAATGTAGGTATTCTGATAGTAGGAAGGGTTATACCCTAGGCTGGCCTACAGTTTTTTGTTTGCCAGTGTCCAATTCTCCTGTCAGTGGCAGTATAACCCAAACGTTTAGGACCTTCTGTGTGCCTCAATGGAAGAAAAAGAAAATCAATTTTTAGCTTCCACACACTTAAATGTTAAGTGCAACACTAAAAATTTAAAACATATATGTTATAATTAAATATATATATATATATATATATATTTTTATTTTTTTTTTTTTTTTTAATCATGTAAATATGAAATACTGCATATGAATATTTCAGATTTACCACTTACAGTCATCAGGTGGCAAGCTCTAGGCAACAGCAACAGTCTTCTGGCCACTCTTATAATACCTGTTGTGGAATAGACATGAAAAGCCGGTAGATGAGACTACACAAACTGCAGAGTGAGAGCACACCCTTCCTTTTTCATAGCAAAGAAAGCACATTTGGTGTTTGACATTGTGTATTAAATGTCTGTCTGTAAAATAAACACAGAACACATCAGTTTATAAACTTGTAAAATGCAACGTGATTGGCTAATAGGAGGGATCAAGAGGTGAGTGGCCAACATCAGGGATTGGGGGCTACCTGCTCTGTTTAGGACCATTAAGGTGCTGTCAAGGTTTGCTTTAGAGCAATAATGCACCAATGACTACTGGACTTTTTTTTCTCTGTCCCTAGCCATACTTTTTGTTTTCTCTGAATGGTAATAGTAAAGACGCTTCAGCCAGAAATAAAAATCATTTAGGACAAACTGTAGCTCTGTTTTCTTTAACTTGCAATAACATGGTGACAATGGTCCAAAACTGTAAATGTGTATTTTTAATTCTAACAGAATTAATCTAAGAGAGTGATAGTAAAATGCCCCTACCTGCCTGCTTGCTGTCTTCCCTGGTGCTTTAAACAGAGCTGCACATGTGCAGCTCAACTTACAGTGCTAGGTCAGTCTCTGAGTGTTGGGATGACAAGCTCCTGCACATGACCAGGAGTGAAATTATCCTCTTCTGGCCAATGAAGAGGTCCAGAGACTGACAGTCATAAGGCGATGCGGGCACTGGTAAGGTTCCATTGGACAGGTAAGTATTCACCATTTAGTTACCCTTTAAACTGGTTTTATATCAGGTCATTAGGAGTTTACTCAATGAAGTCTGTGGTGCATCTTTCTCTCCCTCTCTTTTCTGCATTATTTCCTGCATCACCTTCAGACTTTTGAGCAAGGTTTGAACCGGATTAGTGCTTGAGAAACTATTGCTAGCAGTTTCTTACATCAGGCTTTCTCTGTTTGAGAGGTGTCAAGAATTGTGGCCCAGCATCGCCAGCAGATGTGTTTCAGGATCACCAGATTAAAAGGCAAAAGAGAGCTGGAGTTGATTATGTACAGAAATGTCTAGGTACAAATGTAACTATTCCAGCTGTACGTAATGCTCTCTGTATGCATCTTAAGGTTAAGTTTTCAATTTTGACAGGATTGTGCCTTTAAAAACATATGCTACCAGAGGAAAGAGGCCATGTGTGGAAAATCTGGTTGATATGCCTCTCTGGTGTGCAATTCATTCTCTATCTTTTCATAGCAAAAACTAAAAATAGTTTGGCTATAAACTTTAACAATGTACATGTAAATAACATAATAGTTTGCCACTTTGTTTCCTTTAAAAACAACATACAAGGTGCAATTTACTCTTTATTAAAGAATAAATCAGGAAACGCTTGATTGTTTTCTTATACATGACACATGTATAAGGTAACATGTTGAAGTAAATGTATTAAAGTGAGCCAAACCTGGCCTAGAAAGTGCCTAAGGTAGCAGGAGTTGATCACAGCAGAGCCCATTGGACCCCAAAGCCAGAGATAAGTACCACCCCCATTTTTAAACTTCAGATATCAGAGCCTATACTTGTTCTACTGCAGTTACTTTAGGCACATAAGTGCCAGGTCAGGTTCACTTTAACAGCTGCCGAATATCTGCCATGTGCAACATCAAAGATAAATATATTAAGTGTGACTCAAAAGCCATTGGTTGGGGACCACTGATGTAAGGTATGCACAGTTGTGTTCAGCCATGAAAAGGGATACTTGGATAAAATGCACAAATCGGCAATCATTACCATTTCCCATAGCCTGATGTTACAGAGCACAGGTATGTTAGGACAGAGTTTTCGGTTGTAACAGACCTAGAAGAGTGATAATCATTATCTCAGTGTTGAAGAGAAACATGAGACAAGTAGATGTCCAGAATTGGAAAGACCATGTTGAGAACTTCTTGAAAGGCCTCCAAACCATGAAATAGTTACAAGGTATAGTGGTAATAACAGAAACAAAGAAGTCAAGCATTAAACACAACTTGAAAGTGGTAATTTCCCTATAGGTAGCCTAAATTTTCCATCTCGCTGCGGTAGCGTTGCTCAGAAACTTTACTCTTGTGCTGTTTTGTCTCCAGATGTTGCCTAAACTCAAGCTCTTCACTGGCTCCCACGTTGCACATTGAACAGTAGAACTGTCCACTTGGTGTTACACACATAGCCAGGTCTCTAGGAATTCTCTGCCGTGAACGGGGATTGAAATATGGACCTAGGAGGAGAAAAAATATTTTCTGTCAATTTTCATTAAAACCAACATAAATTGATATAGGACTTTGACAGAAGGCATGGGGTGACCTTCCAGAGAAATACTGAGCAGCATTCTCATATGTTTTCATTAGAAAGGCATAATACAAAGACAAAGTGGATGGCTTGGCCCATTAATTCAGAAAATACATATTCTCTTGGCAATTAGACTCATCTTCATTCAGTGCCTTAGGTTTTATAATCTGATAAATGCGGTCTTCAAATACATTTTAATCCCAAATTGGCTATCACAGTAGTGAACACAAGCTGTAGTGAATGTCAGAAAACAAAATGTAAATGTGTTTGGCACTTCAGACCCTAAAGAAACTAAGTTTCACAAATATATATACTGTAATGTAATTTCAGCGATGTCCCAGTACAGCCCATAGCTTTAGGCTGTTTGATGCAGGTAAGAGGAATTTGTTAAAAAAAAAGGGACAATGAAAAAAATGAAAAATCACTGATATGCAGACCTACAGCTGCCTGAAGATTCTTCACATTCAACACTTCCAGTAGTTTTGAATGCCTGTGTCATCTGCTATGTGCAATTCCAGTAAAGTATTCCAATCAGCCACATTCCTGGAAATGGTTTTGTGGTGGATGCTGTAGCAACTGGTGGCTGGAACCAGTATCAACACATGGTTAAGGCATACATCACCAGCACAATTCTATGCAGTGACTGCTTGAATAAACCTTTGGATGATATTTCAAAGATCCACAGTGTGCTTGCACTATATGCCTTGCCTTTCTGTGTCCAATGCTTCCTTCTGCTGACCCCTGCATCATTACTGTGTCCTGTAGCAGGTGCAGGTGTCAGCAGGAGAGGATTAACGGAGACTTGCAGAGTACTGGGTTCTTAACATCAATACAAAAGCAGCCATTTGTTATTTCTACCCAAACCCAGTCAGGGAGGTTCTGATGCTTCATGCTAGCACCCACAGACCTCGGAACTGACACCCAGCTTGCTCATTCTCTAGGTTTATGGCTACCGTAAAGCTCAAACCAACAACAAATCAGATGTTTTTGCATATAGGAGGGATTTACTGAGTAATCACCACTTTGATTAGGAATCTCCTGAGAAAAAAAAGGCATGATTGCCTTCTTACTGCTTGGTTTCTAGCCCTAATTTCTTTCTGGCTCATTAAAGTGATTGTAAAACTTAAATTATTTTTCTATTAAAAAAATAATAAACTTGTGATACTTACCTGCTCTGTACAATGATTTTGCATAGAGCAGCCCTGATCCTTCTCTTCTGGGGTGCCATGTTGGGGCTCCTGACTTCTTACCCCCGCTGAGTGCCCACTAGGGTGGCACTATAGCAGGCATTTGCACAAGTACTTGTACTCATGCAAATGCTCCAATACCTAAAACAGATACATTTGCAGTACGATTTATAGAGCAATTACTCTGGGTTCAAATTGCACTGCAAAGAATAGCAGGTATCGGTGCATCCCTAGTGCTCACGAAAGGAAGTTGCTTCCCATGGGGGCACTCCTACGTGTTCAATCCCCAGCCAGGCTGCTTGCTTCCATTCAGACATACACCCAGGCTTGGCACTCCCACCCACTCTCTGCTCACAGGTTTTGACTGACAGAAGCAGGAGCCAATGGTTCCTGTTGCTCTCAGCCAAGCCTGTGAGAGACGGGAGAGGAGAGAAGACATGCACAGAGCTGGATCAAGATCAGGCTCTGATAAGTATGTAGGGGGGCTGCAGGGGAGCTACTATTAAAAGGTTTTTTTACCCTAATGCAAAGAATGCATTGGTTAAAAAAAAAAAAAAAAAACTTTACCTTTACAACCACTTTGAGTCAGCTCATTGCTAGTTTACTCTTGCCCAAACCTAGACAATGAAATAAATTAAGATGAAAAAAAAAAAACAGTATATTTGCATGACCATGCTGTAAATCAATTTGTACACATGTTTCAAACATGTGTTTGCACCTGGAAAATCAACCTATGTTCTCAGAAGGCAAATGAGCAAATCTTATCAACCAGAATGATTGGCTAGTATACAAGTCAAACTCCCTAGGACAGTGATGGCGAACCTATGGCACGCGTGCCAGACCTGGCACGCAGAGCCATCTCAGTGGGCACGCCAGGAAGAAGAGGACGATGAGCGCGTATGGACCGGCCATCCAGATCTCGTCCACACTGGACCCCCATCAAACTACATTTCCCACATGTCTCTGGGGCCAGGGTGGGCGTGGACGAGAGGAAACGGCTCCAATGCGGCTCTGGCACCAGGGGTAATGTACCCGGGGATTGGCGCGGAAGAGAGGAAGAGGCTCCCACACTGCTCCCACACATGCTCCGGGGCCAGGGGCAACGTGTTCAGAGTGGATGGGAATGAGCTGCTGGGTTGGAAGCCACACCGACGCTGCCAGAGGTGAGATTAACTGCTTGCAGTGTCATCCATCAGTGCCCAGCAGTGTCGCCTGTCAGTGCCCAGCAGTGTCGCCCATCAGTGCTGCCCATCAGTGCCATCCATCAATGATGCCCAGCAGTGCCATCCATCAGTGCCCAGCAGTGTCGCCTGTCAGTGCTGCCCAGCAGTGCCACCTGTCAGTGCTGCCCAGCAGTGCCACATGTCAGTGCCCAGCAGTATCGCCCATCAGTGCTGCCCATCAGTGCCACCCATCAATGATGCCCAGCAGTGCCATCCATCAGTGCCCAGCAGTGTCACCCATCAGTGCCCAGCAGTGTCGCCTGTCAGTGCTGCCCAGCAGTGCCACCTGTCAGTGCTGCCCAGCAGTGCCACCTGTCAGTGCTGCCCAGCAGTGCCACCTGTCAGTGCTGCCCAGAAGTGCCACCTGTCAGTGCCCAGCAGTGTCGCCCGTCAGTGCTGCCCATCAGTGCCACGCATCAATGATGCCCAGCAGTGCCACCGATCAGTGCCGTCTGTCAGTGCGTCCAGGTAGGCAAGTGGTTAATTGCAGTGTTGGCACTTTGAAATAAAAAAGTTGGTTTGTGTTGCAGTTTTGGGCACTCGGGCTCAAAAAGGTTCGCCATCACTGCCCTAGGAGATGGAGGAAGATGTATTGTGAATCCCATCATCCCACACTCAAAATGATGTTTTCAGACAGTGTTGTTTGGCAACATATGCACAGCACCATCTAGATCTAGACTCTTATAGAGCTATCTAATAAAATATTTACATCAGCAAAGAAACAATAGTTTACACGTTTTAACTGTTTTTTAATAACTTAGAGCTGCTTGCAACAAGATGCACAAAAAGAATTGGAGCCATACAAATACTCTGGATTATTTAACAATTCCGCATCTCTGGCAGAGTTAGAGCCTTCTGGACCTGCAAAACAGTAAAATGTTTTTAACCAGAGAGAGTTGTTGCACAGCTGCAATGAGGTTTTTGAAAATGTAACAGTTTAGATGTAAACAGTGCTCCCTGAAGTGTTTAAGGCTTTGTTCACACTGGTGCAATTTCAGATGCAACTTGAGTCATCATCGTAGCTCAGAGCTGCACGATTTTGGAAAAGTTCCTGTACTACTTTGGTGTGATTTCAGTACGAGTCTGGCCCCATAGACTATGGCAGCCATTTCAAAGTAGCATCCAAACATAAATCGCACCGAAAGTCAGATCAAAATCAGATTGCAGCAGTGTGAACCTGTATTTTCCTCATTAACGTTCCAGATCCACCTACAAAAATTTCACATAATGAACCTTGCTTAGGGCTAAGCACACACTGTTTATCTTTCCATGCCTGCGCTCAGGTCTAGCAATTGGCTGCTCCAGAACCAAACTCTGTACTGTGGGATGCATGGAAAGAGTCACAAAATTCTTCATACCCAGAACTAACAAAAGCTGTTCATTTTTAACGGAGCCCCCACGCATTGGCGAACGAGTGCTTATATATGCGACAAACTGCATGATCCTGCAGCACCATGAGGTTTAGTGCGGTGCAATTTAAAAAAAAAAAAAAAAGGGACAGAGACTTATTTTCCCATGTTTCTTGCAGGGAGGGCAACCCATTGAAATGAATGAGCTGCTCTGCAGACAGCTCCATAGATCTGAACCAAACCTTGGAGAATAAGTGTCACTGCAGAATACATCGATTTTGGTTCAACTGTCTCCCAATATATTTTTAAGGGTCTATCTCTGCACAATTCCCAAATAAAGTATGGTTTTCACCTCTAACACTTAAGTTGTTTACAAGCAGATAAGCCACTTCTTTATACCATGTAAGATACTGTATATAAAATCAGTAATACTTTTATTCTGATAAAAATTGTTTTCCTGATTATAAATTTTGTAAGCTTAGTGTGGAATCTATGTTTTTCAAGTACCTCAAAATTGCATTAATATTTATGGCATACAGTTTGTCTTCATTATTTTTTATCCTGCAACGTTTGCACCTCTTGCACTTTCAATGCCCAAGTGTTTTGTAGTATTAATGGTAAACAAGCTGATTTACATAATACACTCATAAGCTTGTATTAATACACATACAAAAACATCAGATGTTGCTAACATGGGAATTCATGTTCCCACTGTTGTTTTCCAGGCCATCCTCAACTTTTAAAGCTGAGGTTTAGCTAAAGAAATTCGCTTTTTTTTGTCTACAGCTTTAGTTACATTACTTACCTGCACAGGCATATCCCACGATGTGCAGACTGCTTGATTATGTTGAAATCTTTACTGCAGGACTGTCCTGTCTTCTTCCTGCTGCTGAGCTTCCAGCCCTGTGGGAGTCAACAGCTTCAGGTATCTAGGATCAGCTGCACTAAAGGTACTAAAAGCATGTCAATGAGTTTTAACATTTACCGGACTTGGTTGCTCTGCTAGCAGCTCTACTCAAAGCAACTCTTACTGTACTATTATGTCAACATGGCACCAGGGAACTGTGCTTTCGGACACTATCTGCTGTTACATAAGCAACTTACCACTCCTTCCTCCCTGCTTGTCAGCTTTCAGGCAGGGAAAAAAGAATGGATGCAACATGGTGTCAC